TCTCCGTTTCCAGCATCAAGAAAGCCGGAATCCCGAATTACCTCGTAGTCGCTCTCGACGACGGAATCGTCGACTTTTGCAAAGAAAACGACGTCGCGTTCTACAAACGTGACCCAGACGAAGGAATCGATTCCGTTGCTAAATCCGGTGGGAATCACGCTGTTTCCGGTCTAAAATTCAGAATCTTACGGGAATTCCTACAACTCGGGTACAGCGTTCTTTTATCCGACGTGGACATCGTTTACATACAAAACCCTTTCAATTTCATCTACCGGGATGCTGACGTGGAGTCCATGTCAGATGGGCATGATAACTTCACAGCTTATGGGTATAACGATGTGTTCGATGAGCCTTCAATGGGGTGGGCTAGATACGCGCATACAATGCGAATTTGGGTTTATAATTCCGGGTTTTTTTATTTGAGGCCAACGATCCCAGCCATTGAATTGTTGGATCGTGTGGCTGAGAGGCTCTCTAAGCCACCACCTGCGTGGGATCAAGCGGTTTTTAATGAGGAGTTGTTTTTTCCTTCGCATCCAGGGTATATTGGTCTTTATGCTTCGAAGAGGACTATGGATAGGTATATGTTTATGAATAGTAAGGTGATGTTTAAGGAAGTGAGGAAAGATGAGAAATTGAAGAAGTTGAAACCGGTTATTGTTCATGTGAATTATCATCCGGATAAATTGCCGAGAATGAAAGCGGTTTTTGAGTTTTATTTTAATGGGAAACAGGATGCACTTGAGCCCTTTCCTGATGGGTCTGATTGGTAAATGGTAAAAAGAGGATGGTTTTATTTTTACCATGTTAGGTAAATTTTATAATGATTTTGAAAGAATATGTATGTGTATTATGATGAATCTTTTCAATACTTGATACTTGTTAACCTTAGTAAGTAATGATGTTTTAATGGTATTTACATCCTTTGCAAATTTGCATATATATGTTTTTTTCACCTTTTTGCATGACATAGGTACAAATGGGCCTCAATGATATGGTGTTTTTGGGAGGGGAGTTCAATTTCATTCATTTGTATAATCGTTGGAATTTCGGTAGGGGAGTGTTTTGGATTCATTCCATGATTGTGTTATGTCGAGAATATAATTAGTACTATTTTAGATATTTTTTATATAATACAATATCCTTCAAAATTTTAAATAAAACAAAAACTAGACTAGTATGAAATTTGAAGATAAGCTAGGATATCATTACTTGACCTTGGATATAAACCAAGAATTTAGAAAAAAAAATTATGTAAATAGAAACAAGTAAACCAAGAATTTGTATTTCTTTAATTCTAAACCACGAATTTAGAAATATAATTATGTAAATAGAAACAAGTAAACCAAGAATTTGTATTTCTTTTCTTCTAAATCTCATTATTATAATAAAAAAATATGTTCATTCTCCTATCGGCAAACGTTATATTATTAAAATTAAAATCTCTCATTAATATTATATATTTATATATAATTTTATATATTGCAACTGACTTATTAGTTAATGTTACCGGACATCATTTTTAGGATCTAGTTGTTTAACTAGTCTTCAAAATTGTATGAAACAAGATTGGATCGTAAATACCTATTGCCAACTGAAATCCTTTTTGAAGAAGACAACTAGAAACAAAAAGAATATGTTTATATTAAAGCAATACTAATGAAATTTCATTGTATTTTTTTTTTTTTTTTCATTCTCACATATTACTCAAGTAACCACACCATAAAGCGTTGAGGTGCCGAAATTTATTTAGCACTTGATTTATCTTCAAGAAATCTTTTCTTGCAATCCATTAATCAACTCCAGTTTAACTCTTTTCCACCACCAACGATCTAATTATGCAAATCAACAATTTTAAACATAATAAGCCCTTTTTATCTTAATTTGCATCAACATTCAATATAAATGTAATTGGTATTGCACAAGATATATAGGTATATAATAGGCAATATAAGTTATATACGATTATCATATATACATTTCACTACCTTATACTCCTTGTACCATTTGATTATTTCAGCATAAGACAAGTTTTCCTTCAACATTCAAACGTGGATAAATTTATAGTCATCCACATGTTCCCTATAACAAGTAAGTTTAATCATCCTTCAAGTTTTCCTATATCATGTGTCCTGAAGCATATGATTATGAACCTCTTGCCTTGTTTATCAACCTTTCATGTATATAAACACATAACTATTACTGGTCCAGCATAGGAAAGTAAGCTTAAGACATGCTTCCCACAACACAACTTTTCAACAATCATACAGAAGTTATGCACGAAAAAATGTGAGTGTACTGAAGTTTTTTTATCCCCTCTTCTTGCTAGCAATGTATTTCCAATCTCTGATGCCTTGATATTCCTTTTGATAATTCATCTCCTTAAGAGCATTCGTTTTTAATTGTCTTAATTAATTAATAGACAAAATAATCCTAATGCAAATAACAAGAAACATCATCTCCATTTAATTTGCCTTTAATTATGCGATGTTGGGTAACGAGAAGATTACATTACAATTAAACAGTTTATAAAACGATAAAACCAAATATAGTAAAATCATCTACAATGCATAGTTTGGTGAGATTGTTCAGGGAGGTGACATGCATGTCTAATTGACATTTAATAGATTGAAAAATGATAAACATTATACATTAGTTGCCGCCTAAAAGCACATATAGGAGCTTAATCACGGAACACTAAGGATATTTTAGACAAGTCATGGTTGGTTTTAACATTGAACATCTTGTATAAACATTAATATATAGAATTGTACCATAGTAAAATGTTATCTTGGATATAAATTTTGGTAATTATTAAACTTTTCAATCGGAAAAAAGAACTTCATATGTCATAAATTAGATTTATAAATATGTTTTTATTAGATTTTATAGAGTTTAAATTTACCATTGAAAAATTATGATACTGTTTTATAAAAAGAGAATAATTATAAAGGAGTTTAATAGATTAATTGTGTATACCCTAAGAAGTACATTCGTCTGATACTTTCAATCGCTAAGTATACATGCATTTAATTATGTGAAATAAAAATAGTTAAAAGAATAGGAACATTGAATTTAATACTTGTAAAAGAGAAATTAAATATCCTATATTTATCGATTTTATTTGAATCGTTTGATAATAATAATGATCTTCGTTTGGATGAACCGGTTTGATCTGATCCGATCAAGTGAATCCAAATGAATATCGGTTTTCAAAACATGAATCCAAATAATCAAAACTAAATTTAAATCCGATCCGATCCAAACAAATTACAATTAGGTTGGATTGGTTTTTACAATTCGATTTTTTAAAGGCAATATATATATATATATATATATATATATATATATATATATATATATATATATATATAGGGTTAGGTTCATTTGAGACCACCTATATTTTGTGAGACCGTGAGACGCATTTTTTTTATTTTTTTATTTTTTTTAAATTTTTTTTAGTTAATTCATGTTCTAAAAATAATATTTAAAAAAAGAATTTTTTAATTTTTCCATTTATTTTGCATTTTAAAATTATTTTTAGAATATGTACAGTGTAATATTCTATTTAGAATATTTCACGTATTTTTAAAAAAAAATAGAATTTTTAAAAATTTTTTTAGTTAATTCAAGTTCCGAAAATAATATTTAAAATTTTTTTTTTATAGATTTTTCCATTTATTTTGCATTTCAAAATTATTTTTTAGAATATGTCAGTGTAATATTCTATTTAGAATATTTCACGTATTTTTCAAAAAAAAAAAAAACGGATTTTTTTTTATTTTTTTTAATATTTTTTTTTATTTTTTTAGTTAATTCAAGTTCCGAAAATAATATTTAAAATTTTTTTTTTGGATTTTTCCATTTATTTTGCATTTTAAAATTATTTTTAGATTTGGTCTCACGGTCTCACAAAATTAGAATCGTCTCAAATGAACCTGAACCTATATATATATATATATATATATATATATATATATATATATATATATATATATATATATATATATATATATATATATATATATATATATATATATATATATATATATATATATATAGGGGAGAGTTCATGCGAAAATGCAAATAAATTGCGAAAACGCAAAAACAAGAAAAACCAATGATATTGTGTCACTTCAACATTATATTTTGGAAAATAATTCATCCAAACTTTGAAATATATGATGATAATCGATGATAGATGATAAATTATTTCATATTAGCAAAGTATGATTTTTAACATTTTTATTAAGAAAACATGAATTTAAAAATGATTAAGGACATAAAAAAATATAATTATCAAAACCGTCTTTAAATCTATATTACTATAACACCGTCCAATGTAAACTTACTATATTTAATTTATTGCTAATAAATTTATTTTTTTATAGTACATGTGCTTGATTTTCACAAGATAAAATCTGTTTTCGCGTTTTCGCAAGATATTTATATTTTCGCATGAACCTCTATATATATATATATATACACTACGAATAAAATATTTTATTGATAAAACTTTTGAGATTGAGTACAAATTAAAATATTATATCCAATGAAAATATCAAATAATTAAAATTAATAATTTAGTAAATTTATAAATAGTTAAAAATACATACTAAAAAGTAAATAATAAGTTGTTATTTGTTTTTTTATTCAGTTATTATTTTATAAACCAAAACTAATCTCAAATCCAAAATAATAATTTGTTTTTCTGAAAATAAATCTAAAAATCGGAATACTTCCATCCAAATTGTGTAATTCGATAATATTTTCCTATTTTTTGTTTCCATTTTTCTTCCCACCTACTTAATATTATAAGAAAGCTGTAAAATTAACATTTTAATTAAATTTAAATTAAATTTAATTACAGTCATCAATTCCATAATTTGATTTTATAGGAAGAGTATGGATAGTGAATAGGTTACAGAATAATCATTTAATACAAACTTACAAAGTAATAAATGGTGCTCACTTTATTAATCGCGTGGATCAACATCCAACTACTCAGGTTCCATGCAACTTCTTGTGGTCATCGCACGACCCAGCCGTTTCCATGACTCGGCAACTCCGGCGAGTATTTCATAAGATGACCCGCCACAACTCAGTGTCTCTCTAGCACTTGCTTCTAGTTCTTTAACCCTTCTCCTAATCTTCCTACCCTCCTCACCTTCCATAACCACCCTCACCACCAGCTCTATCTCCTTTCTCCCCACCACCACCGTCTCTCCTCTTTCCCCAACCACCGGCATCTTCACTGCCACCCCTATCTCCTCGCTCAACATCGTCGCATTCATCCTCTGCTCCGCATATAGCGGCCACCCAATCATCGGAACACCATGTTTAATGCTCTCCAAGGTAGAGTTCCACCCACAATGAGACAAATATGCTCCGGTAGACGGGTGGTTCAGCACCGCCACCTGCGGTGCCCATGAGCTCACGACCAGCCCTACTTCCTTTGTCCTCTCAACAAACCCATCTGGCAAGTACACTCTAGGATCGTCTGAGTCAACCCCGGCGGTAAAAAGAGCAGCAAAAGCAGAGTCACTCGGAGTTCGCACCACCAGGATGAACCGTTGCTGACTCAGTTCTAAACCTAAAGCCAACTCAGTTAGTTGCACATTTTTCAGTGTCCCACCACTTCCGAGTGCAACAAACAGAACCGAGTCTTTTGGTTGTCTGTCAAGCCATGCCATAACTTCTCTCGTATCGGCGTTTCCATCCGAAGCCGATTCAATCCGTTTGGTGAGCGGTCCAATGGGATAAACCGGCGGTGTGGGAATGTCAGCGAAGAAGGGTTCGGTTTCTAGAGCTTTGAGCCAAACCGGTTCAAGATCATGCCAAGTATTTGCGAATATCCCTTTAGCCATGGATAGCCTGCTGACATGCATCAAGTACCATTTGTACTCGTCGATCTTTCTGTTCCGGACCTGATCCAGTAAGTCGTGGGTTTGGATTCGGTTACAACCCGGTATCTTGATGGGTTCGGGTAGATCTACGAACTCGCCTTCAACTTCCCTGTCAAGCGTCGGAAGATACAAGGAGAACGCCAAAAGAGCTGCTGATGCCGTGAAAAACGAGTAAACCGGAATGGATAGGTCTTTACATGCATCAAAAACGTCGGTGCAGAAGATGTCGATGATAAAAGCTTGAAGCTTCGGTCGGTTGTTTAATGCAGACAACAACACTGACCGAAGCGAGCGGATGGACTCCTGGGCTATGACGGAGAGGCGGGCGACGGCTGTCATATCATCGAAGAGGAGGCCGGACATGTCCGCAGGGGGGAGATCGACGATATGGAGGTCGGGATGTGGGGTGGCGTGGAGGTAGTTGTGTTGAGCAACCGTGGAGTCGGTGGTGATGACCAGAAAAGTGACCTGAAAGTTATGTTGAGTGAGAAGACGAAGGGCGAGCTCGAAGAGGGGGTGATGTGACCCATTCCTGGGCTTGCGAGGAAACCCACATGGGGTTTCAATGAACTCGCATTGCTAATCTCCCCACATGTCTCCATGATTATACGACTGACGACAGGAGATGGTTTTCACAAAATCTAGCAAGCTAGGCGCCTATTATATATAGCATCGGTGTAAATATTCATTTGCATATATATGGATATATGTAATGTGCTTTCCAAAATTATTTCGTTACATAATTGGTTTCCATAGTTTCAATATTTATTGCGTGTGTCCACTTCACTTAAACATATTTTATATCCTTCTTAAAGTTGTTTTTATCTTTTTAAGCTAATTTTAATTGAAAGTAATAATAATAATAAATAAAATCAAAAGCATCGTTACTAAGAGTAGTAACATTCGCCACATCATTTTTTTTACAGTATTTTTTTTTCTATGCATTTTGGGAATACTGTTTGATTTTCTTTTTTTCTTTTTCAAACTTAAATAAATTATATTTTTTTAAACATAAACATTTCGTATTAAATAAATTATTCTTCTAATATGATATAATTTAATATACAATGTGCAATAAACATCTATTAATGACTTAAAACATTTTCTTTCATAGTAGGTCATGTATGATTATTTATTTAATATTTATTTAAACAAACTGTTTTATTGAAACCATGTTTTCATCAGGTTAATCTAAACAAAACAAATAAATAATAATGTTTTCCATAAAGGATAATAACTTAAGAGATCATTGAAGTTTTAAATTTGTTTAAAAAATATCATTCAAGTATTACATGTTCAAAAAACATCATGAAACTAAGATATATATTCAAAAAACACCAACCAAGTATGTGTTGTATTAAAAAAAACATCATCTCTATGGTTTGGGGTACTTACATGTTTAGTCCCTAACCTTTTTCTTTAACTCGGATGGTCTGTGTTTATATTTATTTTGCTTTTGGATCCCTATTGAGTTAAAAGACTAATATACTTTTATTACTTTGATTTAATATTTATTTTTATTACTTGTTAATTATTTATACAATTGATATATTTATAATAAATAACAACATAAATTGTGTAAGTAACTGATAAATAATAAAAATAATATTAAATGAAAGTAATAGGGTATATTAGTTTTTTAACTCGATCAGGTTCCAACGTCAAAACAAATTTAAACTATAGGGACCCTTCGAGTTAAGAAAAAAAAAGTTCGGACTAAATATGTAAGTTACTCCAAATCATAGAGATGATGTTTTTTAACAGAACATACTTCGTTGGTTTTTTTTTTAACATATGTCGTAGTTTGATGGTATTTTCTGAACATTTAATACTTGAATGATGTTTTTTGAATAAATTTGAAACTTCAATGGTCTCATAAATCATTTTCCTTTTTCCATAAATACATGCAAATGTTTTTTATGTACAAATTGATGGCCTAATGTCTCACATGAAGCGGAAAGTATGTTCCCACAACTAAAAGAAAAGCAATCAATCAATCTCCCATTTCTTTATCTATCTCTTCTCTTTCTTCTCGATGTGTTGGCAACGTGCCTTCCTTGTCGTGCATTCTAGCGAGAGGCTAGGGGTGTTGTATAGTGAAGCCAACAAGGCCTTGGCGATGACGGCTCCCTATAGCTTAACCACCACATCTCATCTTTGATCTATATCCTATTTCTTCTTTTAGAAATGAACATATGATTCAAATATATAGAATAATATTATTCAATTCTTTAAAAATAAGATTGAAGTTTCAGTTGACGATTTTTTTATTTTATATATTTTTAGTTTATTTTTATGTATTAATAAACTAACTGCTGATCTGAACCCCATCGATCTGTCACATTCTTCTTGGTTAGACGTGTTCATGGCACAATAATCCTGGAGAAATCCTGAATAAACCTCTAATAATAACCCGCTAAACCCAAGAAGCTACGAATCTCTGATGCATTCTTCGATACCTCCCACCGTATTACAATCTCAACCTTAGCCGGATCAACCGAAATACCCTCCTGATTGATGATATGCCCCAATAATTGTACCTCTCGCAGCCAGAATTCACACTTGGAGAACTTAGCATACAACTTATATGCCCTTAGGGTCTCCAACACCTCACTTAAGTGTTGCTCGTGCTGCTCCCTAGTCTTAGAATAAACCAGGATATCATCAATGAAAATGATCAGTGATCGATCCAGCATTGGTCTACACACCCTGTTCATGAGATCCATGAATGTTGTTGGGGCATTGGTGAGCCTGAATGGCATCACCACAAACTCATAGTGCCTATACCGAGTTCTGAAAGTCATCTTCAATATGTCCTCCTCCATGATCGTCATCTGATGATACCCTGATCGAAGGTCAATCTTGGAAAACCAGGAAGCACCCTGCAGCTGATCGAACAAATCATCAATCCTCAAAAACGGATATCGGTTCTTCACCATTAGCTTGGTCAGTTCCTTATAATTGATGCATATCCTATGGGATCCATCCTCCTTCTTCACAAAAAAGAATGGTGCTCCCTACAGGGAACTGCTCGGACGGATGAACCCTCAGTCTAATAGCTGCTGAAGTTGTGTAGATAACTCATGCATATCTGGTGGTGCCAACTGTTGGGTTTTGAGCATTCTAACACTCCTAAGTGTACATGCAACCCTAAATACCTTGGATCTATGTTTTCTCTATTATACATGCAAATAAGAACATCCAAGGTATTATCCTAATCTAGCATACAAAACAATGAGTGTAACAAGATAGAATACATACCTCTTTGATGTAGAAAGTCTTCATGAAGCTTGAGTGCCTAGCCCCAATAGTGTGGAAGCCTCAAATGGAATCACAATCATCAAAACACTTAGAATAACTTGAGAGAGTTCTACACTTCATGAAATCGGCTAGCCCTTTGTTACTCTCACTAGTGGCCGATTTTTTGTCAAGAATAAGATCTTTATATAGTGTTACAATTAGGGTAAATCCTTAATTGTCATGGCTTTCCATTTCCTTGGATCCATGGGTTCAAATACACCATGGAGCATCCATGGACCATCCTATGGGTTTTAGCCCAACTTGATTATCCATGGAGCATTAGCCCACTATATAAGTATGGATGATTTACACAATCAACCCATATATTTAATTAGTCTTCTTTTGATCACTTAATCTAAATCCTAATACTAAATAATCTCTTATTATTAATATACTAGAACTTATAACATATTAATAACCATAAGTGTCTTATTTCTCTCATTATAGTCTATCCAAGTGCATGATGGTATGCAACCCAAATGGACCATGTCGGGTCGGGTCAAGTCTTACCAATTATAGTTATGGACTTAGACATTAATCCAACAGTCTCCCACTTGGATAAGTCTAAAACTATTATTGCGTATGACTTCAAGAACCAATTGGCAATCGTAGCTCTCAAAAGCTTCTGTCGAACTCTGACCTTGTAGATGAACTCTGACCTTGTTAATGACTTGTCCATTAGATAAGGGATCATATAATCCTCTATTCTCATGATATCAGCCGGACAAATACATGGAACAACGTCGTACTTATTGTCCAGCAGTTTGTTTCCCGATTTTCGATTTGTTTGACAAAGAACTTAATCGAACACATCAATTCAGTTCTGACCGGCCGGTACATAGGTCACAACAAAATCATCGGGGGCCCAGATATCGCTTCTATTTCTAAAGGAACAGATAAACTTCGACTCATATGCTTGTTCTACTACTTGTTGAATTGTACACAAAGGCACGTTTTATAACATCAAGTTACTGATGCGTTTACGTGCAATCAATGCACAACCAACTCATAGGTAACAACTCATATCTCTAGGTTTGAAGATTTATATGATATTACCGTCTCACGATCACTCGAGATAAATTCCATGAAGTGATACAAGTGAGCGTGGGTTTATTCCAATACTCATAACTTATGAGCACTCATGAATGTTGTAGCAACCATTGCATGACTAAACCCATTTAGCCATCTACAAACCCGATTCATGACAGTCTTGATTCATACCTACTTCCAACATATGAACGACTGTGAGTGTTTAAATAACTTAGTCATTCGAAAAGAATAACCTAGCTATTTTGGAAGTCAAAACATGCAAAGTGAAACACAATAATAATCGAATCAATATGGTCTCAGAACCCTTTTGAATATAAATAAAACCACCTTTTATTTATCACCATATTGATTACACATTATTCAATGTTTCAAATAATCAACTTAAGACTTGAATAAAAACAACATCGTCCCATGCTCCTAGCATGTACACTTTGTTTTTCTAAACAATAGTTATGCCATACCCCAAGTATGCACACTATGTTTGTCTATGATCCTTACATTGTGATGTAGATCAATTGAACATGATTCCAATGATACTCATTTCACAATCCCAAATCCTTATTGTAAATGTGAGAATCCATTCCTATCATTTACCAAAAATCTGTTAGATTTTAAACTTTATGCATGTTCCTCTTGTAATGATTATTCACAAAGTCACCAAAACCTTGTCACCAGTCATTACAGAGTATTCCAAAGAAGGTCAACTTCTATGGAACGGAAGTCTCATATTCAAAGTACATTGCTTTGAACATCCTTCTTGCATTAAGGTTTTCTAATCTTACATAGATTGAATAACTTCCACCTATGGAGACATTTCCATAGTCCCATTTTGACTATCACTTCTGAACAAGAGTTACCTTTTTTCAGAAAATGTCAATATGGTCCTGCCAAAATTAACACTATACTTCCAAATGTCCTTGAGCAACCAATCTTTGGCAAACCTCAGATTGTCCTCGACAATTGCTTAATCACTTTAGTCATATCCAGTTCTAGACTTTTCCCTTCTCAATGCCTTAAGCATTTGGAAAATTTAGAAAGATGAATATTATAGCACATGAATCGATCCTATATCCGAAGCATATGGGACACGATTCATGATGTTTGACATAAAGACATGATACTAGACCAGTCTTTTGCTACAATATTTTTATTTGCCATGTTTTCAAAATTTAACTATGAAGAGGGATGCCGTAATCATAATCGAATTTTGAAAACGCAATATATATAGAATTTCTTCAAGTTGAACCATTCC